TCGTCGTCAAGAACTGGACGTCGGGACGCAGTAGCGACGGGTGGTCTGTCGTGGTCGTCTCCTGCGATCTGCTGTGGATTTTCCCGGATTCGTGGGACCACCTCCCGTAACAAGGTTTGCAGTTGTTCAGTCACCTCTGCCAACTGCCGTTCAATGTTACGTGTGGCTGTATGCTGCTCTTCGATTGCTCTCCAAACAGTTGGGAACCCCTGATCTCCGTCACGGGGTGGGTTGCGACTGCTACCGTCTGGGTTGGACATGACTGGGCGAATTCCCTGCTCTGATACCACCTGACGTAGCGTGGAAGCAATGAGAACCGGGGCTGGCTATGCAAGCACCGGGCGTTTGCTAGCACTTAGCGAAAAACACCGATTTCTCTAGGAGAGAGAAAAGGTGGCGAAAATAGGAAGAAGAGAACTTGAAGAAATTCTGAAAATTTGAAGTATGAATTGATGAATAACTTTGGGAAAATAGCAGTATTTATAATATACTTGGGAATTGTAAAAGAACTAGGAAAGAACATGAGTCTTGATCTTGATCTTGATCTTCTTGGGCTGTCTTGATAAGGTCGAACCCTCTTGGAATTCTTGGGCTTGATCTTCCACCGTCCGATCTCCCTGGCTCCCCTTATGCATGAATTTGAGAGTCTTGGATTTCTTGATGCTTCTTAGAGTCTTTGTTGGATCTTGATTGGAGTCTTGAATTCTTGCTAATCTTGGAAGAGTCTTGATAATCTTGGATTTTTGATAAGTCTTGGAGTCTTGGAAGAGTCTTAATGGATCTTGAATTATCCTATTATCCTTTCTTGACTTATCTTGGACTCTTGACCTTATCCTAGGAGCTGCCGCGCCTAGGGGTGAGATGGGCCTTGGGATAGGCCTCCATCACTTCTATGTTTTAAAACACTAAAGCTTGGTAGCTCGCATCACAGGAACTCTGTATTGGAAATCTTATCATCTTATGTCGCTTTACAGAGAAACTGGGTGCAGCAAGTCACCCAACTCGCTTTACAGCAGTTGAAAAGAAACTATTGGAAATCTTAGCCTGATATATCGCTTGTTTCTAGATGTTGTGGTGCCCATTTTTATAATCTTTGAAGGTTCAGCCATGGGGAGCGAATGAACTCTGTATTTCACTCTAGCTCCTTAGTAGTTAGTACTCCTCCAGCTTTTCCTCTTTTCTGTTTAAATTTCTAAATAGTATTGTAGATTAGATTACTGTGTGTTCAAGTGGCATAATCGTAGTCGTTACTCATTACTCAAAACCGCCTTGCACCATACCGATTCTGCAAATTATCCTTCTGGGAATCATGAAAGAGAAGATTGGGTATGGCATGACAACGACCATCAAATTGGCTGATGACAGCAATTGTGACGACGACAATGGAGCACCAAGCAATCGCGGTGAGGATACATTTGCTTGTTCCATTTGGGGAACGCTCCACCACAGTCATGCTTATGTGCTTTCCTCTCTTCCCGTCCTCCTTGCTCCCGGTTGCCAAGACACTCTCCTCGCAATTCCGTCGTGTAATATAGATTGTAAACGTAATAACCATTTGATTGTGACCATTTTTCTAACAGAAATAAGATAAAAGGTCCGAAGAAAAGATTAGCATTTTATTAGAGGATGCCACCAGCTACCACTATTCCTTTGAGTTTGATGCATGTAATAAAGCTGTAGAGCTTGACCATCCACTCAAGTCTCGTAATTATGGAACCCAAGTAGTAGGTTCTTGCGACGGGTTGCTCTGTATGTACAACGCTGAGGAGGCCATCTTCCTTTGGAACCCCTCCACTAGATAGCATCAGAAGTTACCTAACGGGCAAATACGCCCATATATAGAATTTCCAGGAGAATGTCGTTATATCGTATATAGTTTTGCTTACGATCCCATCACCGACGATTATAAGGTTGTGAGGATTGTCCAGTTTTATGGGGATGATGATGACTCTTTTTGACTCTGGATTCAAGGTCTACACCCTGAGTTCCAATTCCTGGAAAAGGCTGGGGGACGCCCCTTTCAGCCTCAATACGAGGTATCTGGGATGCTTGCCAATTTGTGCTTCATTGGATAGGGACAATATGGGATTCTGATTCAAAGGTCTCCAAGTCTATTCTTTTGATCTTCCGAGACGAAGAATCCCGAGTGATGCCACTCCCTAGTTTTCCCGAGATTGCTTTCATATGAATCTGGGAGTTCTGAGAGGACGTTTCTTTATGTATACTCTGTAATTACTGTAAGTTTCGTATTGATGGTAATGAACGAGTATGGCGTGAATGAATCTTGGAGTAAGTTATTGATTGCACAACTCGGTATTTTTCCTTTTCTGGGCGACTAATCAAAGATGTATATATTTTTGGGTCAGTAACGATTTAAGAGAAAAGGGTAAGAAAAAGAAAATAGAAAAAGGTCAGTGGGCTATTTTGATAATTTAAAGCTTTCCGTCATCTAACTTAACGGCCAAAGGGGTATTTGTCGGAAGGTAAAAGCTCAAGGGGGTATTTGTCTAAAAACAATGCAGGGCCTTTGTCACTGATCGTATAGTACAAGGGGTTCTATGTAAATTAACACTATTTATTAATTGCCGGTTAATTAGGGCGTTTGGCATATTTTTCTATAAATTCTAGAGTTACATATCTCTCTTAAACTTGAGGATTCTCTTTCTCTAACGACACACACAATCTGAACCCGGATTTCCTGTTTTTTTTTTTTTTTTTTTTTTTTTTGTGCATTAGCCAATAACTCTGCCACACATTTTCAATCAAGTTTATTATAACGTCTTCTGAACTGAGTTTTACATTTCGTGGGACACTTGCCACTGGGCGATTGGTTAGTGCAGGAATTGCAGTAAAATAAGACACAATATCTCTTTATGGAAATATAGAGGAAATCATATCATAGATTCATAGGCATAGAAAAGGGAACATTCAATTCAAGCAAGAGAAGAGAGGAGAGAGGGCGCAGGCGTAGATTATGGTCATTATGAATAGATTTGGTCTGGAAATCTTTAAATTCTTTCCTAAATAGTAGGCTTAGGTTCATTATATAAACAGACAATGACGCAGAACAGAAACCATACGTGAATGAACCAGATCCTAGTAATGGCAGCTACACAGTCCTCTCTCTTGGCATTCATTCTCCTCCTCGCCCTCCTCCTGTCTCAGTCTCATGGTCATGGCGAAGCCGACAGACCAGAAGCCTTTCAGTTTCTACGTCACTTAGAAGGAAGCCGCAAGGGTGACAGAGTAAAAGGTCTCAACGAAGCCAAACGCTATCTCCATAGATTCGGCTACCTCGACCACCATAACGACGATGACGATTTCGACCATCACTTGGAGTCGGCCATCAAGACGTACCAGCTGTACTACAATCTGAACGAGACGGGGAGCCTGGACTTCGAGACGGTGAAACAAATGATGCTGCCTCGATGCGGGTTTCCCGACATCATAAACGGCGAGACATGGATGAGATCAGGCAAGGAAAAGAACCGTCGTCTTGGTGGACGAAAGACTGCCGTCGGCTTCTCTTCTCATTATGCCTTCTTCAACAACTCCCTGAAGTGGCCACCTTCTAAGATGCATCTCAAATACGCGCTTGATACTAATGTTCCATTTGACGACGTAGTAATGAATCCCCTTTGTTATGTCGCATTCGACAAGTGGGCAGCGATAAGCGATTTCACGTTCGAAAGGACTTACGACCTTTCCAGTGCCGACATCCTAATTTCGTTTTTCAAAGGTGATCACGGCGACGGACATCTGTTTGACGGACCAGGAGGGGTTCTTGCTCATTCCTTTGCACCCACCGGTGGAAGACTGCATTACGATTTGGAGGAGAACTGGGTAGCCGGTATCAGAGCCGGTTCGTTTGATTTGGAATCCGTGGCGGTGCACGAAATCGGTCACTTGCTTGGGCTTTGGCACACCCCTGTGACCGAAGCTGTCATGTTCGCCTACCTAAAGGATGGTACTCAAAAGGTGAATCTGCACCAAGATGACATAGATGGATTACGAGCTCTTTACGGCATTCATTGATTATCACTTCTACTTCTACGCGTAGAAATTACTAGGATTTTAATCGCGGATAATAGTCGCTTACCGTATAATAGCCTAATAGGGAGAGACTAGGATTAATAAAGCTTTATAACACTACTACAGGTTTTGTAGATTCAGAGTGCAATTCGCATTAGTCACTATTCCTCGTTGTTTTATTGAAATTTCTATAGCTGCAGTGCATGATATGATTTAAATCCAATGCTTGAAAATTGTTTGATCATCCTGTCCAATCGTCTACAAAATTCCCAACATTCAACCATGGACGAAAGTTCAGTTGTCGATTTTTGATTGGTTGTTAATAAAGTGGGTGTGGTCGACATTAGAATATCATTGTCGATTAATTTCTTCGTGAGTTATGACCAGAACCAATTTGCTCGCAACATGTAAAAGAAAAAAAAATGTCTATCCGCTGTAAGTAAACAATAAAAAAATCAGTATTTACAACGTGAAGAACAGGGAAAGAACAGCCATCATTATCATGGCACCCCAGCAGTTGCCCAATCCATGGCCCCCTCCACTTGTTGACTCCCTTTCTCGACTGGATGGTATCGTTGTCGCCGTTGATGAAGTAACGTCGGTGTTGGGGTTGGAGCCGTACAAAAATTGGATCCCCTGAATATCATCGTTCGCAAGCTCAACCTTCTTCATCCCTGACGAGATCGTCGGAAACATGATTGCCTCTTCCTGGGAAGAGTGTCCTAATCCGAGCAGATGCCCTATCTCGTGAACGGCAACCGACTCAAGGTCAACCGCAGATGGTATGGACGACTTCCTCGCATCATCCACAACCCAATTCTCTGCTCCGTCCAAATGGAACCGCCCGTCTGGTGGCGAGAACGCGTGGGCCAACGTCCCTAGGACCCCGTCAAATGGTTCGCCGTCGTTGTGATCTCCTCTAAAGAACGCGATTTTGATATCCGCCGTCAGGTAAACCGAGGACTCCGTGAAGGATAGCGGTGTCACAGCCGACCACCGAGCGAATGAGTGGGCGAAAACAGCCTTAACGGTATCTGATAACTGGTTAGCAGGCAAGAAGGCGTACGTTAGGTCGCGTTTGGAAGGGGGCCAAGTGGGGCGGTAAGGAAAAAAGGAATAGTGGGCAACAGTGTGGATGCTATGGGTGGACTTGGCAGATTTGCCGGAATTCATCGTACTTGTTCCGTTGATTATGTCTGCAACACCACACCTGGGCCGAACCATCTGCTGTATAGTACTTTCATCGAGGACCCCAGTAGCGTTTAGATTGAAATTCTGTTGGTATTTCTTGAGAGCTGATTCGAAAGCATCATCGAAGTCGTCGGTGAAGTTGGAGGGTGAGTCTGGTATGTAACCGAAGTGCTGGAAGTACTTTTTCAGTCCAGCCAAGCCGTCGACTCGTTCGCCGCTGTGACATCCGGCGAATTTCTGGAACGACTGCCAAACCGAGGAGGTGGCGTTTGGAAGGAACGATGGGGGCACTGTAGACGAGGCGTTTGGAAACAACCACGGGAAGCCGGAGACGGGCGTTGATAGCAGACACAAAATAATTGATGTTGCGAAGAGAAAATCTTTGGTGAATCTCATTTTCCTCTTCATCTTTCTCTCAGCTCCTCGGGGTGAATGACTGAACCAGGGAAGAATAGAAGAATGGGTTTGTATGTGAATTTATGGGAAGCGAGGATATTTTATTTTTCACTTTAACAAAATAATAATGGGCTTCGTAGAAATCGCTCGTCAGGTTCAGGTATGAAATTAGAATCATAGAAGCAGCTTAGATTAGTTGAGAAGTCCAAGTCAAGCAATTTGGGTTTTGGTGTTGAAATTTACTGTTCGAAGTAGATTTTTTTTCAAAAAGGACTGAGTATACGCTCGGAATTATATTTCTGATTTGGTAAAATAATTTTCAGCAACTACAGGAATTTCGGGTCAGTGGGACATCTTTTGTTCCTTGCTGTAGACGATACAGAGTTCTAAATTGAAGTTTTTTCTTTTCAGGATCAGAAGAAAGTTAAGCTCTCACAGTAATAAGAAAAGGGTGAGAAAAGGATTGAATGATTATAAAATGTCAAATTACAGGTTAATGAAAGGAAATGGAGGTCTGATCGAAATGTTAGAATCGCTTACGTTGAAACCCACCGCAGCGCGCCCTTTGGGTGTTCACTGGTATTATCAATTTATTAATGATGTTTGTGTTTTCCCTAATCGTTCCTTTTTACCCAGCAACCACCTCCTCTCTCTATTCAAAGCTCTAAGTTCTAACCACTCACTTCTAAGATGTTCAGGGCAATTCCTTGTCAGCTCTGTAAATGAGTGCTTTTAATCATTGTTTTTAAAAACGAACCGGTGACCGAACCGATCAGGGGTCCGGTTATTGGTTCAGATGGTCCGACCGTTTGATCCAAACAGCCGGTCCGTTCTGACAAAAAAAATAAAAAAAAATAGAAAATGGTCAAAACCCTTCAAACGGTTCGAACGATTAATCGACCAATTCAGCAGTTTGCTGACCAAAATCAATGGTTTTGGAGAAAAAAGTGGTTTTGGAGGAAACGAAACCAGTTAGGTTACTGGTTCCTGGTTTTTTCGGTCCGACCGTCCGATCTAATCCGGTTTTGAAAACCATGCTTTTAATGTCTTAACTTAATTTTTGGAATATTTACTGTAAATTTCATCATAATTGAGATTTTAGTTTTTTATTTCTTTTTAACTCAAAAATTGAGTCTCCACCTGCGTAAACATACAGCATTTGGAAAATTGGAACTCTTTCCTTTGATTTTCAGTTGAAATATTATACTCTTCACGGTCAAATGGGGGGTTCAGCTGCTTCTCTGTCCATCAAAGTCTTGTGGAAAGAGTCCTGCTTCTTGCCGTGTCTATCCACGTGGCGTCATATTCTTAATTGGATTTAGAAGAGTTCATATGGTGGCTCCATCATGACGTCTACTTATTGGCTCAAAAAAAAAAAAAAAAAAAAAAGTAGAGGAAGAGAATGAAGAGAGAAGCTTTGTTGTTAGATGACCTAACTTTCTTATTATATACTTTTTTTCTCAACAGTTTGAAATTTTCAGTTGACTATTATGATGTTAATCTTTCCTTTAGGTGTTACATCAGATTTAAACCCAACAACTATGAACCAAATTAAAAAGAAAAAAATAACAAATGTATTCCAATTCCTTGTGTTATTTCTTTTTGTTTGAAAGTTTCTAACTTCTAATAATGCATTCCACAAATTAAATAAGGAAATGCGAAGGGAATTATGATCTTACAATTCCTTTTTGTGTCTTTTTTTGTTGTATTTGATAAATTCATTGATTTTCCCATACTTTTCTTGGACCATATTATCCTTGGTTTTGATTTAATTTAGATTGAACAATTTGGGGCCAATATCGATGTCTTACCTCTATATAATTAGATTACAATCCCCTTGCATGTATTTAACACAATAGAGCGTTCTCTTGTTGCAAACTATCATTGGAAAAGGGTTTGGAGATGGGGATACAACTTACAAGGGTGAGATTTGGGCACAACCCATTTTTGATAGGGGCACACCACTAATTGCTACTCAAAAGAATTAGATATTTTAATAGATGAAAAGTATGTATGTATTTTAATTTGGGGATGGGATGTGTCCAAAATATGATGGGATGTTAAAGAAAACAGACCCCTCTCTCTCCCCTATCACCACCAATCAAGTCGCTGTCTTCCTAACAAAGGGATGGGGTTACATTGAACAGTTGAAGGCTGAGAACCAGAAATGAAGCGTAAAAAGTAAACGATGAAAGATGTAATCACTTTTTTCTGAAGAAAATATCCCCTTTTTGGCTCTCTATTCTTTGTCACAAAATACATGTCGCTTCTCCTTTCTAGAATTTGTTTATGCTGGTATCTTGAATTATTCCAGGTTTAATTGAAATTACAATTTCTACTTAACCAATAGACTCCGCCTCACAAAGTCACAGTTTATGAAGAACAACTGAACCACCATGATTTATATCAGGGCTGTCAATGGACCGGATAGTGTTCCAATCTGATCCGGTCCAGTATAAGTCAATTATAGATGGACCATGTCCAATCCAAATACTGGACTGGTCCAATTCATTGTTTGGACCGATCAGACAATGGACCAGGTTCAATCCAATTCAATAAATATTTTGGACCATCAAGTCTGGATTAGTCCAATTCAATATGCCCTAATGTCTTATATATTGGTCTATCCATTTTGTTCAAATTGATCTTGATTTGGATGGATCCATCCCAAATTTGGTTCTTTGACACCCCTAATTTATAAAACGGCAAACAATAACTGCCAACTTTTCATGACCAAAATACAATGTCTTGTTCTGAATATTTGAACTAAAATATTATGTTCAATCCTAAAATAAAATGCCCCTTTAATTATTTTAGGTAGATTAGGGCATTAGAATTTTCTGCACAATTAATGGAAAGATGCATATAAATTTCTTTAGCTCTCAGAAAGACTTGTTTGATATATGTCATATATACATTCCCAGCTTCCTTTTCTACAAAGAAGGATCCCCAGCTTCTAATAACCATAATGTTTCATTCATGTTTTAAACAAGATTGCTACATCACATAGAACACCTATTGAGAGTACACTCAAGTATTTAGTGAGGCCAGAGTGTTAACGAGTTTGGCTTGGGTTGGCCCAACAGAATATGCAATTCCCTAACATTCGCCTTTTTTCTACTCTACAAATCAAAGTAGGTTTGCATCTGGTGGACCCAGTTTGTTTCACCCTGCTATATATGTGACCGATTCCCTTATATGCCCAATGCTTGATAGCTGACCCTATTACATAAATAACAGAGTACGTGGTTGTGGTTACCCTAAAACCATTTAAATTCTACTCTATGTTGTTGAATAAGTGAGTTAATATATAGTTTAAATCTACAGCATCAAAAAGCCATTAACCTAGCTATCATCATTTCAAACTTATAATAAATCACATCTTAATTATAGAGATATCTTGAGGATCTTCTCAATTTAAAATGCAACAATATACATCGGCATGTGGTAGTGGTAGTGGTAGTGCTGGAATGGTAATAGGAAGCCAGTGTGGCCTTGAATGTAGAATTATGATACGAAAGACTTTTTAGAGCCTGACCTTATCCAACTTGAGCTTTTAAAGGGTTTGGCCCTGGAATATACAACTCGGGCCATACCCTAAAGTTGGGCTGTCCTTAGGTAGCCAGAATTCAATGGATCCTGGCCTAAGCCCAATATGTCCTTTCCGACCCAGCAGGCCAGCAGGCCTGACCTAACCCAAACCTGAGCCCAATCCGAACTGACTAGGGTTGGGTCAAGGCCAAACCTGAAGTTTACATCTTAGGGTTGGGCCTGGGTTGAACCTCAACTCAACCCAAGCTGCCCAAGTTGCATAAAATTAAAGAAAGAAAAAGAAAATCCTGAGGCTTGCCCCGATGCTTCTTCAAAGACTTTTAGGATATTCTTCATGGCATTACATTCCCTTTCCTCTGCCTTGAAAAAGAAAAAACTATCATTTGCAAACAAAAGGTGAGAAACACGAGGCACACCCCGACAAATACGACAGCCAGAAATCAGACCTTCTCTTTCAGTTGTATACATCAAAGCAGATAAGCCTTCGGCACGTAAAATAAATAAATAAGGGAAAAGCGGGTCACCTTGGCGAAGACCTCTACCAGGAATAATAGGCCCAACCTCCATGCCATTGAAAGCCACAGAATAGGAAACTGTAGTGAAACAAAGCATGATCAACCTAATCCATTTGCTAGAAAAACCCAATTTCTGCATCATAAGCTTGAGAAACTGCCAGTCCACCCGATCATAAGCCTTGCTAATGTCTATTTTGAGAGCAACCTCGCCACCCTTACCCTTCTGCTTCCTCCTCATAAAATGAATAAGCTCAAAAGCTAACAAGACATTATCAGTGTAGCTCTCCCAGACACGAAAGCAGATTGAGCATTCAAAATAATGTTAAGAAGAAGAACCTTAAGACGATTAGCAAGCACCTTTGAGACGATCTTCTACAACACATTACAAAGAGAAATATGTCTCAAATCTTTCATAGTTTTCGAGGACTCACACTTCGGAATAAGCACTATAGTAGTGTCAATTAGTGAAGTTGGAAACTCTTCTTTGGAAAGCCAAGACACAACAGGTTGAAAAATATCTTTGCCAATTAAGGGCTAGAAATTCTGATAGAAAGCTGGATTTAGGCCATCCGGACCTGGGGACTTGTCTGGATGCATTTGGAAAACAACTTCCTTAAACTCCTCAAAAGAAAATGGAGATAGCAATTTCTCATTGTTTGAGTTTGAAACTTTACAATCAACAAAATCGAAACCATCAATAGCATGACTAGAAGACAAGGAAAACAACTTACGAAAATAATCCTGGACCACTTGACAAAGACTACTCGGATCATCACGCCAATTACCCTCATCATCCATCAATCTCAAAATTCTATTGGTCATTTTCCTCGTGGATGCTACTGCGTGAAAATATTTAGTATTGGCATCACCATCGTGAAGCCAAAAACTCTTGCTACGCTGACGCCAATAATCTTCCTCCTGCCCTAAAAGCTTTAAAAATTCAATTTTCTTTTCTTTAACAGTCTCAATATCTGAAGGAATACTGTTGTCCCTGAGCCTCTCAATAACTGCTTTACATTGAGCAATATCCCTGGTGAATTTCTGATTCAGACCTGAACCCCATTTAGCAAGAGCTTTGCCACACTGATCCAAATGAGAAGAAACATCGCCCATCCTCGACAAACTCCACGCATCCTCCACCGTTTTATTCAAACCTGGCTCCTGTAACCACACATTTTCAAAGCAAAAGCACAACTGACAATGAATACGAGAAACACTCACTGTTTCTAATAGGATTGGATTATGGTTCGAAACAGGAGCAACCAAATTTCAAAGCTTTGCGTCCAGAAGTAACCCC